CGTAGAGTGGCTGCAGTCTTTCTGATGCGCTGGCAGACTGGGAGCATCCCGGCTGGTGCCCACGGGTGCCCTGGTGCCTGCCGCTCAGACATTGGTCTGTTGTGTTGTCAAAGTTTACTGGCAAAGAGGGCGCTGCTCAAACGCCTGCTAATCCCAAATATGCCTGCGCTAGCGAGCGACTGACTGAGCCCGCGCGCATCCATCGAGCCAAGCTGGGCGGCAGTACGGACACAACATGACAGGACACGCACGACCGTCCATCAAGCGCGGGGTGCCGTTGTGGAGCCGTGCAACGTCTGCATGTATGTAGGCAGTTGTGATAGATGATCGATAAGGCCTCACAGAAGACCCTTGGTAGGTAACCGCCGCCATTGACTCCTTCGAGCCGGTTGGACTGCGAGGCGCACTTTGTCCGCAGAGTGAAAAAAAAAAAACGGAGTGAACCACGTCGGCCACTGGCCCACTGCCATGACTCCATGATGGAGGGCCGGAGGGTCCCTGGTGACAGCAATATCTTTGTAATCCACCAGCTATACCGATACTGGTCTAGGTAGGTACTTACAGCTGTGTATGCTTGACAGTAATTTTGCAGAGGGAGCCAGGAACCTATACTCGATGACCAAAGCCATAATAACAACCACAGCAGTGGCACCAATCGCCCACCTATTTGCCATGGTGCCATCTCCTGCCAGTCACCCAAACAACCCCTCCCAATTTTGCCTTTGAAAAAAAACCAGGCCCCAAGCCCGAGCGGTCAAGGGTTCAGGGGACCTCTGGATATGTCGTCAAGCATTCTTTGCTTGTTCCGCTGCATCATGCCGTCGTCAATTGTCCATTACCCTGTGATAAGGGGCATTGGGAGCCAGCACAACACAGCCTCTGTCGCAATGCCTGTGTCGGGGAGATCGGGATGCCACATCGGACTCAGGGTGAGTGGAGCATCTGTCATCGCCTGGTCGAATGAGGGTGGAACAAGCGCGCGGGCATTCTGAAAAACGGACGTGCGTGGTGCACGGGCGTTGGTAGGACTCTGCAGCAGCTCCACTAATAGGCGGGCAAGCTGAGCGCGTAGCGACTCCTTATCGATAATGAATGGAGCCTGGTGCACGTGATGGCTACGACCCCCATCATGCGGGTCGTCGTTGGTCAGGCAAAAACGGCCTTGATGCACCACAGCCTCTCTGAGATTGGGCAACGACAGGCCCTTGTGGACGGGCAACCACTGGCAGCCTCCAAGCCCGCCACAGACGAATTGCCCCCCCTCCGTGTCGTACCATCGGCTGCACGCACTCCAGTCTCACCACTAAGCGGGGGGCCAATATTGAGACCCGCACCCAACGAGCTTTGCGATGACGGCCAGTCGTGTCCTGGCACCGCGCCGGTGCCTGCCGCTAATCGGGTATCAAGACCACCCTCCCTCAGGCGCCACGGCCTGCCTCTTGGTCGGCGTGCTTCTGCGTGCCGAATGCGCTGGAGGGAGCTGCGTGTGTGGTAGCGGCGCCAAGCTTTTCCCCAGCGCCGTCAGACCCCAGACCCAGGGTGATATGCAAAGTGGGCTTGGGCTAGAGGCTCACAACAATTGGCACCGGCCTAGCGTGGCTGGCATGGGGCAGAGGGGGCGCTAGCGCTGGCGGCGACGCAGAACAGACGACGAAAAGCTGGGAAGCTGCAGAAACAGTCGTCACAGCCAATCCCCGGGCCCCCTGCCACCCCGGCACTCCCACCCTTGCCGGCTGCCCTTCGTGCCTCGTACAGATGGGATCGTCGGCGACGGAGAAGCAAGCACGAAAAATAGACCAAGGCCAGAACCCCGGCCGGGTGGTGTGGGACGCCCAATCCCTCCCTCCAAACTGCCTGTGGGGTTCGTCACTTTGGCTGCCGCTCCTGGGCTCCTCGGGTTCGGGCTTGCGCGGTCGGAACCAGGCACAGGTGTTGATGGCTGCATGCCCGCTGGCGGTTGTGCCATCCATGAGATGATACCCACACACCACACGACGCTGCGAGCTGCCGTGTCAGTCCGTCACCACCATTCGCCGACCCTGTGCTGGGGTGGAAATGCCGCCCGCGAAGCCTCGTTGGGCAACGACTGGTTAAATATTGACCTATCCACGTCCCCACCCCTGTTGCACTTCTGCTCCTTCTGCTTCTTCCAGGCATCTGCCCCTTCATCGCTGCTTCGTTTCTTGTCCAACCCTCTCGTCCAGACAAAGATCCAGACAACGACGCCTTGTCTCATCAGCCTATATCCCTCCTCGGTCCCTGCCGACCTCATAAGACGTGGAGGCATTAGCACCAAGCATCAAGCACGAAAGAAGCAGCCAAGTCGCTCGCCTCGACTCTAGTGCGAAGCAAGCGTCCTGAACCGCGCAGAGCGGGGAACACATACACACACAAAGACATACACACACACACACACACGGACGAACTCGCAGTCCAGAGAAGAAGAAAAGGCGCAGAAAGCAAGGCAGGTCAAGGAGTCTTGACCCGTGCACGCACGAGGCCACCTAGCCACCAGTCCACCAGCAAGCCCCCGGTTCGCGCACAGTCGCTCGGCCAGGGCTGCTACCTTGCAGAAGGTTGAGCACACCAGCTTCATCTGCTTGTCTAGTGCTGCTTCGATGAGCAACATGAGCCATCGGGCCCACGGCTCGGAGCAGTTGCAGCAGCTAGAGAGGCTCCAACAGGAGAGACAACAAATCGACCTGAAAATCGCACAGCTGAAGTCGACAACGACCTCGCTGGGTCCCAGCTTGGACGCCTTCCCGCCAACAACCCCGTTCAACTGCACCCCACCGTTCCGCAATGTTCGCCGGCACTCGGCCACTCGGCCGGCGGCACCGCCAATGTCGATCTCGGCAAGTCACCACATCCAGGTAAGCACACCCGAGGGCGCGAATGAGAGTCGGTTGGTGTTTGTCCAGATATCTGGCCATCTCCCGCCGCCCTGGCCCATCCATCGGTTTCCGGCTTGGTTACTCACCTAGAATCATCCGTGTCTCAGACTACCCACGAGGTCGCACATCCCATGAAGCGGGCCAGGACCATGTCGCAGCAGCAACCTCGGGTTAGCTACTCGATCCCAATGGACCGGTCCGCTTCGGCAAGATCACTTCAGCCAACGCCGTCGATGCCATTCACAGGCTCCGGCCCAATAACACCCCCTCCGGCAACCTACCCCCAACAGACGGCTGGCTTCGCCACGGCAGACCCGGCATCAAGAAACGGGCCGTCAGAGAGCTTCTACGGCCGCGCGATGCAGCTCATGGGAAAGATGCCGCAGTCCAGCAGCCAGCCCACTGAGATGCCAACGTTGACCGAGGGTCATGTCCTTCTACCAGACGTCGGCATGGATGTCGCCATGTATCTGAAGTCGCATCCGTTCGACGAAAGCATCCTGCCGACCATGCCCCAATACCCTGGGCTTGAAGACTTCACCCAAACCGCCATGTCCGCCTGCGGCTCGCTCACCGAGGCACCGACCCTGGAGGACCTCAGCATGAGCCGTCAAGCCAGCAACATGGTCAACGACGGGTCTTCGGTTGTCGGCCAGCTCCCCGTCGGCATGGTGCGCATCGCGTCGCAAAGTTCGTACCACGACTCTGGCGCCGCTACTGCGATGCAAGACGCGCTCTCGACTTCACCTGGCAGCCAGCCTTTGCTGAGGAAGCGACCCTCGCCGGCTGACCAGCAGGACTTCTCCCAAATGGGGGCCAGTCTCTCGGTGCCACCTCACATGTACTCGAGGTCGGCGCCATCTTTCCAGCCAGATGACGCCATGATGAGCATGGAACGGTCTGACTCGTGGCAGTCCACCGACTCCATGATGAGCAGCACCTCGCAGCCACCTGACTGTGCCCTCGACACATATCCGTCGATGCTGGCTCATCAGGTTTCGGTCGACATGGAACGTACCCAGTCCAACACGAGCATCAAGTCGACCCAGTCGCTGAAGTTGCGGGCAAAGGAGGCCATCAAGCGCCAAAACCTCAACGCCTCCAAGGCCCAGATGCTGCGGCCGAGGCCCCCCCCAGCGCCTCACAGCGTCCAGCAGAGGAGCTCTCAGAGCGGCGCCGTCGACAGCCTTTCTGGGCCCGAGGCCAGCGCACGGGCGACCCAAAAGGACGGCAAGGCGCCCATTGCTGCAACAAAGAAGTACGAGCGCCCCAAGCACCCCAAGGTGTTCTGCGACAAATGTCCACAGAATACCGAGTTCCGCGGCGAGCATGAGCTCCGGCGGCACATTGACGCCAAGCACAAGCCCTTGACGACCAAGTGGGTGTGCCGAGACCCGAGATTGAGCTCCGAAAGCTCGTCCTCGGCCGCGGCCTCGGGTCCCTGGCCGGTGCAGCCACTCAACAAGTGCAAGCAGTGCAACGCCAAGAAGCAGTACGGTGCATATTACAACGCCGCCGCCCACCTGCGCAGAACGCACTTCAAGGAGAAGCCCAGTCGGGCCAGGAATTCCAACGGCACCGGCAAGGCCAAGAACTCCAGCTCGGCGGCCATGATCAAGGCCGAGGAGCAGGAGCGCCGGGCCGGCAAAGGTGGTGGAGACTGGCCCCCAATGAACATCCTCAAGGAGTGGATGGAGGAGATCAGTGTCCGCGTTGGCGACGGCGACGACGGGGACGAGCAGCAACTGGAGGAGGCTGCCGATGAAGATCAAGATGACGACGGTGACATGTCGCCCGAAGACGAACGGCCGGACATGGACATGTCGGTCGAAGATGTCGATCTTGAGGCAGGCGCCCCCATGGCCATGTCGGCTTCTCTGGAGCTCTACGGCAGCTTCGACGCCAACTACGGCCTTTATTCGTTCCCTCCGACTACCAACGGTGGCACGCAGAATCTCGGCCTGCAAACCCTGTCGAACGGGAACGGCAACCACACCGACTTCTCGGGCGGCAGTGGAATGCCGCCTCTCTCGTCGGCAAACTTCATATACTGCCCTCCCCTCGACACGGCTGCTGCTGCGGCAGCGGGAATGTCTGGTGGCTCGCACTGGCCTGCAGAAGTGTATCACAGCCCGTCCACCACAGCCACCATCACGCCCGCGAACATGTATAGCGCCGATGACGGCTCTGCCGTCATGGTTGGCAGTCACGCGAATTACTCGCCCGAGGACCACCCCGAGTTTGAGTTTGACGCCGTTTTCCAGCCGACCGACGCCATGTTCCAGCAGCCTGTGGCTGTGAGGCACTGAGCACCTGGGTTGTTCGACTAGGATTCCACTGTTTCGACATGCGACCTCCTGCCGGGTATATCCGCACCCATGTGACATATACTCGGCTCTTTCCCGAACATCTCCATTACCTGTCTCCATTTACCAGCGCGGCTTTGTCTTTATCACATGGGCGTTATCTCTACTGGGAGGAGTAGACAGCCAATTGCCTACTCTGTACATGTCAGTCAAATAACCCAGTTGCTCCCGGTTCTCAGCGCCTCGCACCTTGAAAAAGGCGTCGAGGCGCGCTGCACTGGGAGGACTATAGACAAAACAAAAATACGAGAAAAAAAATCGAAACATCTATCTCAAAAAAAGGAGCGAAAAACTTCCAAGCGAAAGGATCGATCAGATGTGTTCAACCTCCCCAAGCCTTCATTGCCCCCGGTCAACTTTTTTCATGTTGCCTATTGTCTGTTTCTTGTTTCACTTGCCTTCGTCGGTGGGATACGTTATGGTCACTCTGGGTCGCCCAGCTGGATCCTTCAGGCAGTCAAGCGCGGCTCCTCGCCATATTTACAGCAGAATCCCTAGCCAAGGCGCCTGGAAGTTCTCAAACAGATGGCGTGACCAGAGAGGCCGCGCTTGATGAGGCCAGGAGAAGCAACAGCTAAGGGATAGGAGCAACCTCCGTAAAACGAAGTCTCCAAACGCCCACACGCAACCCAGTGATCTACAAAGCACCACTTTCAAGACTCTCTTTTTTCCCTTACCCCACCATGCGAGGTCTGACCACCGAGGGCGAAAGCCCAAGGCCCGCTCGCGGCGGATCCGACTTGCCGGCAAGCAGGCAGGTGGCTGCGGTCCAAGCAAAGGAACTGGACGCGTTCCGTCGGTAGTGGGCGGTCAGGACCGGGCCCCAGGGCGCACACGAGCGGCTGGCACATCAGCCGCCGGCGGCGCTAGGGCTCCGTTGATCTGGCAGATCAGGGGGGGGGGGGGGGGGGGGGCGCTTGTGATGGGGAGAGCTATATCATATTCCTATTTTGAGCCTGGTGGCTGGGTGGCTTTCCTGGAGTTTTTTTTTAGTGGTTCTTGGCGTTTGTCTATTTTTTTTTTCTCACGAACCGTTTCCTCAGTCTCTCTCCTTGACCATCTCTTGATATCTCTTGCACGCCTTGTGGCTCTGACAGAGCTTTTGGACGGACTTAATTTGCTTATGGATGGTTGGATGGCGGGAACAGGGCAGGGGGTTTCGGGCCAGGGGTGGGAATGGCGCTTTTCGGGGATTTTTGTTTTGTCGGCCACTTACTTTTTTGCCCAGCAAACAAAGGCCCAAGGGTTTAATTTTGGCTTGGAAGTCCACGCGGACACGGGAACGGGCGCTGGTGGTGAGACGAGGTTTTAGCGAGCGAGCGAGCTCGTCTGGTCATATTTTCTCTGCCGGTCTCAACAGCAGTTCGACATGATAATGCCCATTTATGAATTCTACACTACTTTATACACAAAGGCCCATCCCAAAAAGCGTATTCGATTTGTGCTGACCAAGACGAGAAGATAGCTGGGGCTGTCAAGGGTCCCAAGTCGAGTCGTTACAGTTTCCCTCTTTGATCCGGACGGACACTGCGCTGGTAGGTTATTATGAACAAAAGTGGAAATAAAAGGCGTACCAGGGACGAGGTAATACGGACGCATAGGTGCCGTGACGCCAGTAACTCTAAAGCTAAACCATGGCTGGTTTGTCCTCTCGTCGCTGCCCGTCATTCTTCCCGGGTCGTGACTACCTGACCACGTGTGCCAGCAAATCCGAATGCCCCCCTCCCCCGTCCCTGCCGCCACTGTCATCATCATCGCGAGGTTCCGAAGAACCGGTGGGTAAGCCTGCCGACTGGGTAAACGGGGGGCTGCTGCTTAGGACACACACACACACACGTGTCAGCGAACTTTTTTTTCTTCCTCCTTTATTTTATGCTAGGCATACTAAGATCTTCTGTTTGCCTCGAGGATTAGCGAATATGAGAGAGCGGGTAACAGTCAGCAGTCCAGGCCGTTTCGTTTCGTTTAGCTGCCCACCTGCCCCCAACTCCGCGTTCTCTCATTCTCTGGGGCCGGCACCGATCGATCCAGGATCGCCGTTCGGATCCGCTCCATGCGACCCCTCCGATTTCCGGAGTGGCTTGCTTGCGTTGGTATCTTCTTTGCTTTTTCTTTTCCTTTCTTTTTTTTTTCTCTCTCCCTCTCTCTCTTTTGCTTCTTTCCCTTTCGGCTCGTGGTGAGTGCAGCCACGCATCTTGATGCATGCTTAGCTCTGCCGCACGTAGCAAAAAGGGATGGCTGGAATCAGAGGCGCCAGCTCGGAAGGAGGATAGAGCGGGCGAGGAGGGGGAGGGTGGTGCCAACTCGTGCCCAACGCCGTGCATGGTGATTCTCCCCTGTCTCCTTTTTTTCCCTTTTCTTTTTGAAATGAAGCGGCACGTGTGAGAGGCGGCCATGTGGTCGAGAGAGGAGGAACGAATCGCCATTCTGGGCGTTTTGATGGCCGATTTCCATCACCCTGGATATTTTTCTTCTTCGGCTTGGCCAAGGCTTGATTCCCCACGAAAACTCTCAAAGCCGGCACAGCGCTCGCACTACTGGGGTATAGCAAAGGGATGAAAGACGGTGTGCTTGTGACAGATTGAGGGGCGCGCCCGTGCTTTGCTCTCGATGGCCTAAGTGAGTTGGGACCAAGACCAGACAGGTTTCTGACAGCAGACAGAAAACAGCCACCATCCTTTGTGGCGATGGGGGCGCCAAGTCCTCGTTCCACCATTGGGTCCTTTACGTCTATCCCTCGCTTGTTGACTGCTGCCCTTTTCAGGGTAGATTCACCCGTTTTGGGGAGGGCGATGTGTCGGCGCCGTGACTAGAACCAAGCCACCGGCCAGCTCGCGCTTAGACTCCAAGGCGCCCCCAGACCCAGACCTGGGAACCAAGCTCCGGCTGGTGTCCGCGAAACAGTCTCGGCGCCATGGCGCAAACCAAACTCTGAAGGGTTGAGAGGGACTGGTTGACAACGAAAAAAAAAAACACTGGTGGGTGCATCGCGCTGAGTAGGACCACGGGGCCGCCCCGGAACAGAAATCATGTACATGTCACGTTTTGTTTCCAGAAGGGCAAGGAGTGAGCGGTGGGGAGTCATGTGCGAGCAGGTCGACAAGGGAATCGCCTCTCGTCCCAGCAGCCTTACCGTCTAGCTGTTCCAGGAAGAGCCTTGCAACACCGTATTTTCCGAGAGGGGACCCCAGAGAAAGTCGCCCGGGCACAGTATACCACCGCGTGGTATTTTTATTTTATTTTTCCTTCTCGTAATGAACGCCAGTGCAAACTCCGGCTCCCTCGCTTCCCCCACGCCCCAGGGGCCTACTATCTCCCCCACCAGACTACCGCTAGCGGCACAGCCGATGATGCTACTTGTCAGGCAAGCGAGAGCCTGAACTTTCGGTATAACAGACTGTTCCTGCGTCCCTGGTTCATCAGCCTCCGTTTAGGCCTTGCTCCATCCTCCATCTGCCATCAAAACCACCTGACCACCTGCGTTTCTGCCCATGGGGCCACGGCCGCAACTATCATAGTGATGAGCGCCCGTTGCGTACAGCTACTCTATGCCGCCCGCACACGTTTGGAATTCAAGTCAAGGAGGTCGGTATCGCGAGCCTCGCTACTGCTGCTGCTGGAGGTTCCCGGAGCCGCCACGCACGCGATAACGCCAAGGGCGACTTGGACGCCGAGTTCGTCGAGATGTCAAAATACAGAGTTGGTCTCTGTATTCCGTCTGCATGCTCTTCATCCTGCTGCGCATGTACGTCCGATTGCTCTCCGCGTCCCCGCTTCGATACCGACGGCTGCCCTGCCGATGGAGGAACGGACGGCCTGCTGCTGGCCGAGATGAGATGGGGCTGGCCTCGCACCATCTACTTATACTGCAAATTCAACCGCTGACAAGACCAAAAGATTTACAAAGCTGAGGAGGATAGGCGTACTGGAGAAGGACGACTATTTTATGATTCTGGCAGTAGCAAGTCTCCATCTTCGCAAACTGCCGGCCCTTCAGCGGGTACTGGGCCATGCCGCCGCCCAACGCGCAGTGCGCGACGCTGCAGCGCTATTCTGTGGTGCAGGCCTGCTTCAACATCTCGAGCGACCTGCTGATGCTCTGGGTGCCCATCCCGCTCATCCTCAAGGCCATGCTGCTGTCCATCTTTTCCTTCGGCGGCTTCGTGATCGTGGCCGCCGTGCTTACAAAGGTCTTTAACTTGTCCAACGTCTGGGACCCGCAGCATATGCTTTGGTACATGCGCGAGGCCTCGGTCGCCATCTACGTCGCCAACATCCCCGTCCTGTGGCCCGTTCTGCGCGACTGGTGCCCCTGCCTGCGCCGTCTATTCGGTGCCAGCTCCGGCGGAGGCGGTGGCGGGAGCAGGCGGTCGGGCCACCACGGGAGCCGGGGGCGCGCGCGTCGGCGAGTCCACGCTCTACCGCCGCAAGCTCGGCATCTTCTCCTCATGGAGCGGCAGCGGCGGCACGACAGCCGTTTCGCGGACGGCGCCGGGCGGCGCCGGCGAGTCGAGGCGCGGCTTCCGTAGCTGGCCTAGGACGGGCTGTCACAGCGTCATGGAGCACGGCATGGAGATGGGCCTGAAGGACGTCGGCGGAGGGGGAGGAGCAGCAGGAGGCGGGTCGCGCGGCCGCGGCGGGAGCTCGAGCATGGAGCGCATACTGGCACCGCTCCCGCCCGCGTGCCTGGCGCCGCCGCTGTCGCCTGCCGAGGTGCTAGCTTTTGCGGGCCTGAACAGGTCCGAGGTGCGCGCGCTCGAGACCAAGGACAGGACGCTGGCGGAATTTCCGGGCGGCGGCTTCTGCGCCAGCGCGATACACGTCCAGCGCACGGTCGAGGTTACGGCCGAGGACAGGGACCAGGACGCGGCCCTGGACGGCCGGCGCGGCGGCGCCGACATCTACAACTGGGAGCAGAACGGAGCTTCGAACCACCGCGTGGGCGTATACGCTGGCAGGTAGCATTGGCTTGTTAATGGTTCCTCTTGGCTTTTTGCTCTAGATTCCCCTGTACAAACAGCACCAGCCCCGTATATACCCCTTCTGTCACTGCGGCGCTTTAGTTTGCGGGCTTCTCTGACGGTGAGAAGATACAAGTTTTCAATGAGACGCCTGGAAAAAGATTCCGGGTTCCAAGTACACCACACCACCCTGGCAACCAAGCAGGAGAACAAAGAGACAAAGAGTGGCATCGGGGGTATCATTGAAACACGAGGCAACGGACTTCTAGAAAGTCCCTTCATGGTCACGTCGCTATCTCTTCAGTGTCCACGGCAACACAAAGAAAGAGGGGGTATAACACAAAAATCTGCAAAGCAGGAACAAAATCACAGCCACCTCCACTGCCCGACAACCCTCCCGTCCCCCTCCCGCGCCAGCCTCTGGAACGCGGACGGCGACAGGTCCAAGTCGGTAGGCTTGCACCCCTCACACCTGTCGACCACGGCCACGTCCACCGACACGTCGCCGCGCTCGACCCGGATCCGCCTGCCACATATGGGGTTGTTGTTGGGGTTGCCGTCGCCCTCGTTCGCGGCCGCATCGAAGACGCTCCGGGCCACGGCGACGATCATGTCTCCGTCGCCGTGCGAGCCGCCGCACGCACCTAGGCCCGGGTCGTAGAAGGTCAGCTCGCCCTCGTGCGTCCGGCCGCCGTCGTCGCCGCCCGGGAGCGGTAGGTCCTCCCGGTCGCCCTTGTTTCGCGACGACAGGCCGGCAGCGAGGCCGATGACGAGGGCCAGGAGGAGCAGGAGGAGGGCGGCGGCCGCGGCGAGGAATACGCGCCGTCGCATGCCTAGGTACCTGCGGTTGGGCGGCATCATCGAGTCCAGGCGGGCCCGGGGGCTCGAGCGCGCTGCCCCAACCCCCGCGGCCGCCGCCTCTGCCTTATCGCTGTTTGCTGGCTCCTGCTCCGTCTGCCCCGCTACTACTGGCGCCCCATCGCGGGCAAGGGGCGGCTGGTGCTGCTGCTGGGCCTCCTTGGTGAGTGGGGTCTGCTGGGCGAGGTCGTCGTCGCTCGTGCTCGGGGCGGCAGGGGTTGGGATAGCGGCCGGCGTGGTAGCGCCAGTGAGGGGTTTTCGCTGAAACGAGGACGGGCGTCGTGGTGGCGGCGGCGGTGGCGCGGGTGCGACGGCCTCCGGATCCTCTGGTGCGACGCCGCCGCCGATGGGGAAGAGACGGCTCAGGCGGCTCCTGCGCTTGGGCTGCTGGACCCGCGACTCCCACTCTAGCTCGTAGGTTGGCTCTGGTGCCTGGGGAGGCGTAGGGCGGGGTTGGTCGGCCATTCTGTTCCCTGGCTTGCGGTCGCGAGTCTTGGCAAAGTTATCGTAGTGCAACCAGAAGGCGCTTGTGGTTGATTTTCGTGGCTGGCCAATCGCAACTCTGAGATTGACGATGTGCTGTTGGAGCTACCGGCTAGATCATCGCGAGCGGCCCGTGGGAGCTGGTCTGGGGAGGGGATGCCCTAGATTTGTACTTGCATCTCGGGGACGAGCCATTGGAGGGAGCCCATCTTGTGGCAGCACCTGGTGTGACGATGGGTTGAAGCAGGTTCATTGGTGACAACACCAGAGCAGCAAGTGCCTTTGCGTCATCATTGATGATCTGCCCGCCCAAACCTGACTCGCTCCCAGGGTCCTGGCCAGGGACACAGATGACGCTAGCCGTTTTGGGACGCTCCCCCTGACATTGAATGCGGGGGCTGCACGTGCTCGAGCTCGGCGGCGCGCACCTATTTTGTGAATGCTCAAGCACTTGCCGACTTCAATCTTCTGTTTCGGCGCGCCTGAAAGGAGACCATTGTTCTCAGCCGTTGTGCATGATAAGGCCGAACTCCATTTCCATCGAGCTGCCGGCGCCTAAGCCCTGATAGGCGGCCGATCCCTTCAGGCTTCCTCCAGCCGGAGCAACGCTAATTTAACACAATCCATTAGCCCCTACAGTGCACAATTTTGCCCATATTACCGTCGATGCACGCCAGCGAGGTAGCCCATAAATCACTGTTACTTGTCGCGTGGCTACGGTAATCGCTCTGTAGGGGGCAACTGGAACTACATGACGTGGGTACACGAAAAGTCGCCGCTTGATCCGTTGCAAAACGTCTCTCCTCAGCTGATAAGCTTGCCTGTAAACCCCGGTAGAATGACCTGGTCTTTTTTCATGTACCCCTTGCTCTGCTGCCATTTCTGCTTGAGGGTCGTGAATTCAGTTGATCGGTTGGCGAATTTGGTCAGCTATATTGTCCCGTCACGGTGCGGGCGTGGTGGGAAGCGGAGTATGCCCCTTCATGGCGCCGACTTACCACCCATGGTGGGTACATGATGCCCGCCGGCTTCAAACTCGTTTTCCGTGAAGCCCTCCCTCTTCAGGACGGGCGAGTCGATAGTGTTGAGCACCAGATCGTTCTGCGGCCGGGCAAAGTACAGCAGGCCCAGGCGGTCGACGTGGCGCTGGTCCTTGGGCGGGAGCGCGACCCTGTGCACCGTCGACTTGATGTACCCGCCCGTCAGGAAGCTGAGGGCGTCGCACGTGTTGACCGTCAGGCTACCGTCCAGCGGCTTGGCCCACCTCCACTCGCCCGTCGCGTGGTCCTTGATCTGCAGCGCCGCCACCGGCTGCCGTAACAGCAGCGTGATGGTGCCCAGGTCCGTGTGCCCGTCGGCCCAGTGGCCCGAGCCGAGCCGCTCGACCTCGGCAGGTGAGTACCGGCCGTACTTCATGTAGCGCAGGTGGGACTCGTCGTGCACGTCCCAGCGGTGCAGGCGCGTCAGGAAGTCGGGCGGCAGCTCGAGCGCCAGCGCGATCAGGTGGTTGAGCGGGTCGAGGACCTTGTCGTGCAGGTCCTTGGAGAACGACTCGATCTCGGTCTGGTTGTCCTTCAGGGGCTTGGGCAGCGCCTGCGTGATTCGGCCGTCGTTTGCTGCTCACTGTGTGTTAGTGTGATCCATGACAGAAGCAGGCCTGAGGGGTGGGGGTTGTTGAGGCGGCAGTAACGCACTCGCCATGTTCCAGACCTCGACCTTGTCAGGCTGGCCGTTCCCCATGATGCGACGGCCCGCCGGACGGTAGCCATTGTAAACGCCATTCTCAAGATCAGGAACGTATTTGAGTTTCTCCTCTAGGGGCAGGTCATAAAACTCTTGACCAAAGGCGAACTGGCGGTCGACAGCCTCTTGTGAGATGCCGTAGTTGATTACGTAAAAGAAGCCCTTTGTCCTGACGGCATCAATCAGGGTCTTGGCCAACTCTGCATTGCCGTTGGGAGTTCCATATTTGGATAGGTCGACGGTAGGTACTTCATAAGGGAGAACTGTTGGTAAGTACATCTTAAATATACGTTCATCAGAGCTGGAGGAGGAGGCATACGATCGGCCCAGTCGAGGTTCTCCTGTGTTTCTGGTACATGAGTGTACTGGTATGATTTGGGTGCTGCCGACGGCATGATGTGGGAGAACGTTGGGTGTGTGTGGCGCGACTGATTGTGGTGATTTATTGGCTCGGATGTAGCTACCTTGGTGCCTAGGACAAGGTCGAAGTTGGTAGACTGTGGACGGTGAGGTATGCTCCGGGGGGACGATATGTAGTAGGCAACTGGGCGCGGCGGACAACACCTTTATCTGGCAGCTCCGCATCCGAGTCTCCATGACTTCATATTCCCATTTTCGCTGATTACACATTTCATACGCCATACAAAGTCCGATTCCGCAGGTGGCTGCGTCTGGCCTTGAACTGAGAGATATCCCGGGATTAACTCGGGTCGTGCATCTGCCCCCATTTTGTTCCTGTCTCCTCACGTCTCAGACAAGCTATCGAGAACCACGAGGCCGAACAAGCCAATCACTTGGTCCTCTCCAATTGCCGTCCTCCTCCTGATCCCTGAACAAACTGGTGTGTTTTTCGAATAACATGACAACGCCCGCGCCTCGGCCTCTACCCCGCAATAAAGTCTCCTGCGGGTCGTGGTTGATCGCGTCAAATCTGAAGGACGGAGCGCTGGCGCAATGGGTTCCCCCGATGGCATCATGTCTTCAGCACGACATTGAACCCCCACACGTCCCCAACCCCAGTTTTTGACCACATCGTATTCGTCAGCACAACCATTTACCCCCTTTCCTTCAAAATCTGCCCGCCGGATGTGCTCCCTTCTCTGCCAAACTGTTCTGGCTTCCGGAGGAGACAATATCTTCACCATGTCAGCTAAGGGTTGCGGTGGGCCATGCGGGCCTCACATCACGTTCAGCACCCAATGGACTCGGCCGAGCAACACTCCGGCCCCCTGATCTCCCAGCACGCAACTGGCCGCATCTCCACTCCTTCATCCAGTTGGGTGCTCCAATATCACATTCGCCATCGGTGCCAATGTTTGCGTCGTCTGGGGAGATAAGACTTTTTGGGGTGGTAGCCTGGCCGTTCGGCGGAGAACTTGCAGACTTGGCCATGTTCATGGACCGGGAATAACATCCGTCTTCGGCGGATTCTGGCCTCGAGCGGAAGATAACTGAGCCCGCGGAGCATTTTCTAGGCCATAGAGACGAGGAAAAGCTGCTGGGTCATAGCGCCCTGTCTTCCGGAAAGAGACTACGCTATGATTCTCGACCTCCAAGACGACGCTCCGTGGAGGATATACGTTCTGGGTCCAGGCGTCATAAAAGGCCTTTACCCAGTAGTGCCCTTTTCTAAGCTTGCCTCCTGCTACACAGCAGCATTTCATCCTGTGGCAGCAGAGTCGGTTTACACCCAGACAAGCCGGTATCATTTGCTAGTATACCACTGAACTCGCCAAAGATGGGTGTTTTGGCAGCGGTCAAGCGCAACAAGGTGGGCGCCGTCATAATATCGGTATTTGATTGGTACCGTATGTTTCCCCTTCCTTCCGGCACGCAAAGTCCTTAATGGTGGCGACCTTGATACAATCGGCTGACCATAGAGTGCCGCCGTTTCAGCCTCGGAATACTCGGTCGTCGAGAGAAGGCTGCTGAGAAAGCTTGATCTCGCCATTCTGATCTTTGGGTCGCTGAGCTGTAAGTTCGCTCCAGCCTCGGCGGTCTCATCTTAGCTACGGGAGCTGATAGCCATTAATCCGACCTGCCTTGCAGTTTTCTGCCGAGTAAGTTCTCGCGGTTTTTACAGCCCAACGCTGCCCTCTCCACTTCAACACTCGTCCAGCTCAAGTGCTTACAGGCTTTGCCCATCAGTTTTTGGGACAGCAAAACATTACCAATGCCTACGTCTCGGGCATGCGAGAAGATCTGAAGGCGTTTGGAAATGAGCTCAACTACTATAAAATGGCCTGTAAGTCGACCGCTCCTTTACTTGGTCCCGGCCCTGCCTGAAATCAGCTGACTGACGTTCTATTACGATGGCAAAGACAATACGGCCTACGTACTCGGGCAGATTCCGTTGATGACCCTTCAGACGAAAGGAAAACTGTGAGATACATCACCCCCTTATCGCACCGGGACCTTTCGATGCCGCAGTAGTGTCTAACCCCACACACCTTAGTGCCATCTGGCTTCTCCCAGCTCTCCAGATTTCATGGGCCATTATCGGGTTCTGCCAGTCCACAGTCACGCAAAACTGGCATCTTTACATTCTCCGGGCCCTGACCGGCTTCCTGGAGGCCTCCTCGTTCGGCGGGACGCACCTGATCTGTAGGTTCAATCAACCTCTCCTGACCTTTCTCTGTGACCCTGATCCCCTAGCTGACGCCAAGGGGTGCCTCGTACGCACAGTGGGAAGCTGGTACAAGAACGATGAGGTCTTCAAGCGTGCTGGAGTCTGGTTCATGGGTAACTCGCTCGGATCCATGTTCTCAGGCTATTTGCAAGCTGCGGCCTATAAAAACCTGAATGGCGTTATGGGTCGTGCCGGATGGCGCTGGCTCTTTGTCATCCGTAAGTATTTCCTTTTCCTCCATCCCCACAGATTGGGGGTTCAGGGCACAGCTGCAGGCGCGCCTTTTACGAACCCAATTAACCCATTACAGACGGCATCATCACCCTCCCGATCTCCTTCCTGGGCTTTGTCGTCTGGCCGGGCCTTCCCATCTCGCGACGGCGCTGGTGGATGACGGAGGAGGAGCACGCTCTCGCTGTCAAGCGCATCCCCGTGGTCGAGAAGGACGGGATCACGTGGAAGACGTTCAGATACACCCTGAGCCGGCCAATGTGGTGGATTTGCGTGCCGACCTACGTCTGTCTGACCCTGAGCAACTACTGGACCACCTACATGGCACTGTGGCTCAAGTCGGCGCGCTACCCCGTCGAGATGGTCAACGTCCTGCCGACCTTCGTCGACCTGATCCGTGCTATCAGCTCGTGGCTGGGCACCACGCTCGCGGGGACACTGAGCCTGAGGGGGCTTTGGACGTTTCAGTTTGTATGTGACAGCGCCTATCCGGATTCGCCGTCATGGTTTGTGTGTAGAACGGCTTCACTAATGCTCCCGGATGTCTTACAGGCGGCCATGTTTTTTGCGTGCCTAACCCTCGCGATATGGAATGTACCCGACGGTCTCAAGTTTGTTGCCTTCTATTTTGGAGGCTTCTCGGGCATGGCCTCGCCAATTCTGGTTCGTCCTCCCCACTCCACTTACTCCCTAACCCTCCACACCATACAAAAACGCTAACCTTGCTCCGCGGTTTTACAGTACACATGGGTCAACTTTACCCTCAAGGAGAACTTTGGCGAGCGCGGCCTCATCATCTCGTCCATGATGACCATGGGCTTCTCAACCTCGATCTGGGTGCCACTCCTTATCTTCCCAGCTGTCGAAGCGCCAGAGTGGAAGAGGGGCTACCCTGCCTCGACCGTTTTCCAGTTCTTGATGTGGAGCACCCTGATGTTCGGGATCTGGTATATGGCGCGCTGGAAGACCAGGCAGGCGGACCCGGAGGTTCCCGAGCAGGAGCAGGTAAAAGGGGAGTCGAATGCAGAGGATGGTGACGGCGCAGCGTCGACGGCAGAAACTACCCTGGCTGGGGCCGGAACCAAGGGGCTCAGTGACGGCTTCGACGCAGGCTTTGGCACACCCGCGGCCACTGGAGCTATGCGGAACAGGCTATCCACGAACAAGGGCAGCGACGGCAGCAACAAGGATGTCAGCAGCAGTGGCGCTGGTAGCGTCAAGACTCTGGACCATACGCCTCGACAGTAGAGGTGCGAGGTGTCGAGCCAGGGGCATTGAATCCGGGGCCGAGGGGAGGGCCCTGGGCTAATCTATCAGGGCATCTGTTGACCGACTTCCCAATGTCCCAGGCGACTTGGCTATCGGGATATTGACTTGGTAACCCTCACCACCACCCACATATATCGGACACTCGCGCGGTATACCGCATTGAAGCGGCACAAAGCTTCTGGCGGGTGCTCTTCGTTGCGTGGGCTGTGCAATGTGTGAAGGGGGTTTTATTGTGGCTAGGTACGTACCTAGGGGGGTGAGATGTCAGTGGTCGGAAGCGACTGCGGCTCAAGGCTGTGCAATGCGCGGTCCGCACTGAGATGCCCAGGCATGTATCTGCCTCACAAGGCATCTCTGCAGAACCCCTCAGCCATATGCGTGCGGTGGGCTCCTCGGGCTCACCCCCACATCAATCACGGCAGCCCAGTCTGTGATCAAAATCGATGTGTTTGGAGCCCTTTCACAACACCACAGTCTTGGTCTCTCTCCATTTTTCGACTGGGCTGCGGTCTCCCCAAGAAGAAAAACAATAGCACAACCCAGGCCAACTACACAACAAAATACCCGAACGAGCTATTATGGAAAACAAGGCTCCTTCTGGGATCCAAGTCAATTCGCCATACCTGCCCCTTCAAGGCGAGCGCGTCATTCGCCTGGCCACCATCAGCCCCGGCTCCTGGCTGGACGATGTGAGATGCGAATTGACGAACTGGCCGCTCGACCCCTCTCACCGGCCCGCGTACCAAACCCTCTCCTATGTCTGGGGCTCCGCTCGCGTCACGGAGAAGATATTCCTCAACGGCATCCCCTGGCAGGTCACTGTGAACCTGTCTTGCGCTTTGCGCTACCTGCGACACAGCACCCATCCTGCTATCTTTTGGATTGATGCCTTGGTGAGTGATGCGCATCACGATTTGGGGAAGAATGGCCAGCATTAGAAACGAGAACTCTCCGGGTTAACACTACCACCTCCACATTGCCCAGTGTATCAATCAACAGGATGTCAAAGAGCGCAGTGCTCAGGTCCCCCTGATCAGGGACATCTATTCTCAAGCCAGCGGACTTACTATCTTCCTCGGCAATGGAATTTCCCACAGGACTCCCCGCGCATTCCACAAGACTCATACTCCTTCCGCCGCCAGGCATGACTTCTCCAGCAGCAGCGGGGCGGGAGGCGATCCCGGCGATCGACAAGTGGTTACGGACTTTTGGAACTCGTGGAGGACACGACAGCAAAGAAGCAACCATCAGTCCAACTCGGCCCTCTCCGTCTTCTGCCTTCTTTGGTCTCTGGCCTACGACACATCCACAACACCAACATGGCCATTCCCAGAGCTCCTCGACGCAGAGAGGGAGCGCGACGTGCGTGGTCTCTTTGAGGCTGTTCGGCTAATGCTCCTCAGCCCGTGGTGGAGCCGCGTTTGGGTCGTTCAAGAGGTCGCCGTCGCCCGCGAGCCAGTGACGATCCGCTTGGGCGATGTATCGGCTCCATGGGACTTAATCGCAAGAGCTGCGAAGCACCCGTGCCTGCTACCCGAGTCCAAGTCCCAGTCATCAGGAGCAACAGCGGGGCAGCAGGAGGGACAACTGCCGCCCGAGTACGCCAAAGTCTTGCAGCATTTTGCGCGTGCCATCGTCAATATTGAGACCCTGCGAGCCCGTTGGCTTGACGGCGGCGGATACCCGATGCTGTCACTGCTACAAGAGTTCGGCTCTCGAGACGCGACTGATGAACGCGACAAGGTGTATGCCTTGATGGGGCTTGCTGGGACAGACAACCCTGTTGCCATATCCGCAGACTACGCCATGAGTGTAAAGGATGTTTACAAGCAGACAGCGGTATCCCTCCTCGACAGTACCCATGCCCTCGCCTTTCTGGCCGGAAATCAGACTCGGAAGAATAGGCGCGATCTTCCAAGCTGGGTTCCTGACTGGGGGGCTATCATTGAACCGGGAGACCGCGCGCGGGCCGCTGTGATAGACCTATACCAGGCGAATCACCAATGGGCACATGTACAAGCCACTGTCGCCAATAATTACTTGGCCTCCGGCTTGCGCCATAAGCCATATTTAGATCTCGAGCACGTCTGTTCGATCGGTTCCGATTACCTCGAGATGCAGTCGCTGTTCACCGGCGGTGTGGTGAGGAAAGTCGGTGAAAGGCTGATCACCTGGGACAGCGGCAGTGAAAATCACGCGTTGCAGGTGGTCTACAGCTGGTACATGGGCTTGGACATGATTGATATGGATTTTCAAGGGATGCTTTCCTACATGGCCAACACACTTGTTGGGGGGCTGCGGGCTGTGAAGACCAAGAGCGATGAATCTGTGAGGTTTATCAGGCTTGGGAGCCAAGCAGACTGGGAGCAAGAGCAAGTCGACCTCATGCACTGGTTCGCAACACACCTTGCGCCCGCTGTGGACAAGGTAATGGAAGGGACTCCATATCACCAGTCCTTATCCGCCCGGCTACACTCGTCAAACTTCTCTAGAAAGCCTCCGAGCGCGGCGTACAACCCTCAGTACTTCAACATGGCGATGAAGCTCGCCACCGAGGGTCGAGCCTTTTTTATAGCCACAAGCGGCTTTATGGGGCTGGGGCCGTCGTCGGTATTGCTGGGAGACGAGGTTCACATACTGAGGTCTGGTCAGACGCACATGATCCTTCGCCAGACGCTCCATGACTCCCATACCGCGTTCAAGGTGATCGGCGACTGCTACCTGTACCCAGAGAGCCCGAAAACTTCCAAGGACACATGGAAATCGTGCTGGTCCCTCTATTCGAGGGACATTCTGCCAGTGCCAGACTTTAAACACCGGCCCTTGGGCTTGCATGCCCGGAATTTGAAACCCAGGAGGGGGTGGGTTCGGCTGGCATGACAGAGGTTGGACTACGAGTGTTTCGATACTACGGGAGTACATGGCGTCAGTGAGGAATTACGGCCCGCATAAGGATTTCCCGCGATGATGCATATTGCTCAATTGTTCCACAATCGCCAAGATGCGCGCACTTGAGCTTTGTGAGATTACATACATATATGAAAATCAGGATAGGCCACGTATGTGGCTTGCGAGGTGATCCTGACCGCTTCGTCCAAATCTGGGAGCATTTTCCACGTGCGCGGCAGGCCTGGGGGGTCTACCTCTGGCGGTGGCAGTGCCGCTTGCCGAATCAGAGTTGGCTGAACACGTTGGAGCCGACGGGCGCGAGGCCTTGATCCAGCATCTGCGGTCTCGGCCTTCGTCAACTCAGAATCCCGGGCCCTGTCTCTATCCCTGTTTTGTTCCCGTCCGAAACCTTTCTGCGGATGTGCAGGAGGCGACACGTTCCGACGAAGAAGGCGACCAGAACATTTCACACCAGGTGAGGCAGAGGCGTGGCGGTAGGGGTGAGGGGCACGAGTCGAAGGAAGCTTTTTCCAGGATTTCGGGGCCTGGCCAGCACCGACGTTGCGTTTGGCCGAATGAAGCAGTCAAGCCGAGCGAGGGCAAATGGAGGGCATCAACCGGCTGCCGGATCAGCAATCGACAGGAGATCCAATGCCAAGCAAACACGGCAAAGCCCAAAAGGCTGGGAGGAGGATGGGCATCATTGTTGCCATGGGGGCTGAGGCAGCGTTGGTTTTGCGGCGGGTTAACACTCATCCAAGCACTGCGGGCTGTTGCGTTGGGCCTTTGGGATAACGACGTCATTTCGCCCTTGGCACGCAGGCGATGGGTGAGATGGTGAGCCAGGGGAAGGGGGGTGGATCTAGTCGGCGGCACAAGCCACCCCCATGTGCGATGAGGTCACTCCGAACTCTGCCCGTCAGGTTCCGCGGAGATTCGCAAGGGAAAATCAGGTCTTTGAGGACCAAAAGCTCTACAGTTTTGAGAGAGCCCGAGGAAGCCGTCAAACTAGCGGTTAGCATGACGACTCAACAGTGGGTTTCTGCAGGGGAGGATTTGAATTGATCGCCCGCTGTGAGCCGAAATCTGATGATTGGAGTCGCTGTGAGGGGTTGTGCGGGGGAGCGGAGGGGCAGGCTGCTCGGAAACCACGGGTTAGGCCTGCCTCGGACGGGCAAATCTATCTGCGCCAGCCTTTGCGGCTCCGGCGGTCGGAGCCAACTTGGCTCCTAGTCGGCAGTCTGGCAGAAGGGAGAAAAAAAATGTGAGCAAGTCCAAGGCTCCAGACTCGGGCGAGCGTTCAACCAAGAGTCGCGGCCCATATGCAGTCGCCCCAAAGTGGCAAAATTACTGCTGTACTGTAACCTTGAACTTGTCAGTGTCGAAACGACACAGCTTAGTCGCTGTCGAGCTCCTTGATGTGCAAGGAACGGTGTCTTGGACCATGGTAGTTGTCAAAAAAGCAAGTGGCAACTTTGTGGCAAGATGAATCGCGTCGACACACACGTCTTGCGCTGGTGGCTCTCATCGCGGGCCAAGGTCACCGAAGCCAACAGTGGCTAGCGCTCGTATGTAAAGCCCGTGAAGGGAGACGTACGGGAGAAGCGCGGCTGTGTGTTTTTGCCCTCGTTGACCTTGCATGCCTAGTGATTCTTATTCTTAGCCGGCAGGCAGATGGTGATAATCCGGCAATAGACGAGGGATAATCAAATCCGTGCCCTTTGACCAAAAGCTGGCAACACAAAGACTGCACAGACACCAAAAGCCATGCCAAGCAGGATGTTGCTACACTATTCGTGCGCAGTAGGCGACAGACAGCTCTCGATGTCCTCACCAAAAAGAAAAAGCTCTGGACCATCGGCGAGTCCGGGGCAAGTCCAGGAGCGTGGCCCAGTCCAGCCCTACGAGGCTTTGCTCATGCCATTCATGTGAAAACCCTTGACCTCCCGACGGGCATTTCAATGCTAAAATGTGGGCACAACCACACGCCCCTCCCCCCGCCGTCAGCCCGCCGCACGCGAGCTGATGCTGGTGCGGGGGACAAAGGGATAATAAGCCAGCAACCACCAACCGCACGAGTCCGACTGCAACCCACGGGATGAGCGCGACGCCGCCCATTCTGCCGAGACACCCGAGAATCCCTCGCAGGAGCTCCGCTACTTTCCAGACCCGTGTCTTTTCAGTCGAGGTTGGGGCCGTCGTCGGCACAGGTCGGGCCCGATGTGGGCAGGTCACGCACCTCCCTCGGGTCGGGTAACCGCGGACTGGATGTGATGATGTGAGGTCGGCTGCCGATTAACTTGGCCAAGTAGAAAGAAGCACGCACACACGCACGGTCAAGCCCTAGAGTCCAGCACCCGAAGTGGTTCCAAGACATTCAAGCGCGGGATGGCGTCACGAGAGCATCGATGGCGATCTGCGTGGGGAGTCATCTGTCTCCCGTCGACCTCATTAACATCGGTAGGGGCCCCAAAAGCAGGGCGGGTGCATGGCTTCTAGTGCCGTCCGTCTCGTCGCTGTCGGCCGTCTGACCAGCGCCATCTCGCGCTGAGTGAGCGGATCATCAAGCATGCCCGCTACTTCTCCCTAAGCCTCACTAGCTAGGGCTGAGTCTGGCCCGCTTCGCCGTCTGGTCGAGATGTTAAGGGATTAAATGGGCTAAAAGCGTCCAAATAGCCGTGATAGCCAGCCATCCCTCGAGCTCTCCCCGCACTGATGGCACTGTGTAATGGCTTAGATGCATCAAAGTATCCCCAAAATTTGCCCGTCCAAAGCTCCAAGCGGCGAATGTTGTACAAGCTCACAGCTGCAACGTTCCTCCTGCACAATCACAGACTGTTGATCCAGATAGGATATTTTACGTAGACACCGCCCGCCTATGGGCGTCGCGGGACCGCTCCAGGTCTCTCATCTGCGGGGAAGGGAGCGCACGATTGGTGTGGAGAGACTGTCAGCTGCCTGGCGTGGCGCATTCTTGCCGAGGCCAGCACAAGTCTGGCCGCAAAGCAGCAGCCGCCCAACGCGCGAGACAGAAAGAAAACAGGAAGCCGGGGTTGGTCGGAGCGAGGGATCAGGGATTAGAAGGACGAGGTGGCTGGGTTCTTAGATTGATGGCATGCGATGGAGGGACCAATATGGGCTGCTGACGCTTCCTTTTGTTTCCCCTCCCCAAATCATCAGATATATCCCACCCTCCCGCGACGAGGTTGATGGAGGTCAGCCTTACCTGCAGCGGGAACCATTAATACAGACACGAGCAGGCTCGAATGGACGGGTAAACGAGGCCAAATACGGCCCAAGTTGGTAAATCGCTCCATGGGGTGCCAGCTCGGCAAAAGATCTGGCCTCGCTCGGTAAGGCAGCCAAAAGCAGCATGTGGCATCCATTGGGCAACGGTGGACACCTACCCAGCCCAGGGACGCTCGCAGAAATGGCGGCCTCAAGGTGCCACGGCCAGCTGGGATTGGACCTGGGCTGCGGCGATACATGAAAAAAAGCCCAAGCCGCGCTGAGGTGTCAACACACTCAGCCCCGAGCGAGCCGCACGCCTGGGCTGCGACGTACGATAGGTCGCCTCCTTCTCTCGCCCGGCTGCAGCGGCCTCTCCATGCCAGCGCAGCCGGTAGGTCGCCGCACCCCATGTTGTCCCGCAGAAAAGCAAAGCACGCGCAGTCGCAGTGTGACGGCGCCTCTGCGTTGTTGTTGTTGTCAACCGCTGGCTGGCCTGAACCACTCCCCCGGCAGAAGAGCCTGATTAGGTACCGCCTAGCCGGGTTGTCTTCCCATTCAGTGGCTGCAGACGGGGCCCCTCCGGGGAAGCTGAACGGCCCAACAAGACGTGATGCTTCCATGAGCCTCCTCCTCCTCTCCTCCACCACCACACCACGTCAGCCCGCGCCGCGCCAGTCAATCCCCCCTCCTCCCCCCCTCCACGGGCCTTCCCATACTTTCGTGTGCTTGTGTGTGCGCGTGTGCAGCGCTTTTGCGCCGACGCAGCTGTAGATGCGCCCAACGCGCGCAGTCATGTTTCCCAGCTGGGACGGCATGCATCCGATAGCTCGAAGAGGGGACTACGCAGGGGGGGGATGTTCGCTTCCTTGGCCTGCAACGGAAGCATTCCTAGATGACCACGACAGCCGCCTGCGGGCAGCTGTGGGGTGGGCGAGGCGGGGGTGGAGGGGTAGGTTTACAGAGCAGGCAGGTCTGGAAATGTTTTCATTGTGATCCCGGCCTTCATTCTTTAATTCTCTTCTACTATGCCCTATTCTTGGCTTTGTTTGCCCTCAATGTCGGGCTACCAAACCCTGCAGGATGGACGGAGCTGAAAGCATTGACACTAACCCCGGACTGTACCCTTCTCTGATGGACACCTGTGCTCTGCCGTCCTTGAAATATACAGCCAAGACTATGCAATACGGCATGAATGTTAGCCCTGTCAACCCCGCCGGCGCTCCCATGGCACCCCGACGGGACTCAAATACTCCATTAGGCCTCATGGTACGATTTCGGCGTCAACAGGCAGGGGATGTGCCTTTGCGCTACCACTGGCTACTACTCCAAGGGACTTGTCACCATCATTGACGGACCCCCCACCGCGACAATCCCGCCGCCACCCCGGGCTGAGGAGCTTGGCCTGCAGATCCCGCCCGCAGTAAGCCCCCCGGCTTTAGCCCCTCCCAAGAGGGGCAAAAGGACAAAAGGGCAAAAGGGCCGCAGGTCCGCCTGCACCTCTCCCGCTGTTTGCGTCGACCCAGCTGATTGGGAGGCTTTCGGGGGACCGTCGGACAGCTGGGCAATCGGGAGGCCAAATGAATGAGAGGAAGAAGAAAGGATGCCACAACAAACCTAGGTGAGCATGCCACGTTGTCCGCTCGCCCCTCCTCCCGAGTCACGCTAGCCAAGGAGAAGGGGCCCGTCGCTGGTCCCCGGTCGGATTCGGGGTGCTTGCTGTAAAAAGGGCAGTTGCCTTGCAAGAGAGCACGACATCACACGTCAGGGGAGTGGCGGCATCCGCGTAGATCAATCCTGGCTCGACCTTTGTCTGCCACCCAGGCCGTAGCAAACAGATTGAACGCCCCCGACGAGGAGCCTAGCACCTGGGAGCCACAGCTGGTTTGCCGCCAAGCCCCGCCAGCCCCGTCAGACATCGTCATCATTGACACTGTCCACGTACTCGTCGACGTTTTGCGTTTTTTTTACACCGCACTTTTTCTTTTTTTTTCTTTTTTGCCCGCGTACAACAAAACAAACGAACCGAAAACCTGTTACTGTACAGGGAGGCAAGGGTGAGGAACACAAGTGGCGGGATGCAAACCTTGCCGCCCAAGGCGTCAGTTTGTCGCCATGATTATGCTCGAGTTACACGAACTAGCAATTGCCAGTCGGCAGGCAACTTTGAACACGCACAGAACACCCTACACCCTGCACACAGTATAGTACAGCACCAGACTGCCTGCCGCATTTGCCATTTACCATTTACTCCGAATTGTCGGGGCGGGGACTGGCGGGTCTCGTCTCGGGTCCCACCGGGTCAAGGCCTTGACCCTCCATCTCGCCCAAGAGAGGGGGATCACTGCTGGACGGCCCGAGGTGAGGCCGCCTCCTCGTTGGCCGCCGCGGCTGGCGGCTTCTGGTTGTTGCCTGCCTGCCTGCTGCTGTTGCTGCTCGCTCTGATGTGATGCTGGTGCTGATGTGATCTAATAAAGTCCACAAGCCGCCCCCTCGAATGCCATGCATGTGTGCGCGGGCTTGTATACATAAAGCAGCCATCCGGACCAGATCGCGAACTATCAGACGCCTACCGATCCGCACCTCCAAGCCCAGATCTCCAGGTACGTGCCCCCCGTCTGCAGCCAGCGTCGTCCGTGTTGCGCCGCCAGCTCCAGATTGGATTTTCTGTTCCGCCTCCATCCCTCCCAACCCACGCCCGTCAGTCAGTCAGTCTCGCCGCGTCGTTTTGTCGTTGTCTGAGAGCGCTCCTGTTTGCGACTCGTGCGCCCGTGTTTCACGCGCGAGACGCACACGGGTGGTGGTGTGTGTGTGTGTGTGGGCGTGTGTGGGTGCCCGTGTCTGTGGATGTGGTCGTGTGCGTGCGTGAGTGCGTGCGCATGTGTGTATGCCAATTCCGACCTCTTGTGGCCGTGCTGGCCTCCAGGTCCGGCCCCGTGTCATTTTCTGTCCGTCCCGGGTGTCGCTATAGGCCTAGAATACAAGTTTATTCGTCGGCCGTCCACCCTCTTTTTTGGATTTGTGTGCTTGAGGAAGCTGACGCGCTGTGAGCAATAGTCAGTCAGCCGCTCTTTGCAGGCCGAGACCAATACAAATATCAAGGATAGAAAAGACCTCCAAAAAGACCTCCGAAAAGACCTCCCAGCTGTGCCCGACCCGACGCGCCAAGCAGCCAGGACGATAAAATCAGGGAACCCTCCGCCGCCATCACACGAATCGAGACAAAACATCGATCCTCTTGTCATTCCAGGCCGGACCATCGTCGATTGTCGGACCTTGGTAGCCACTTACACAGTAGCGCAGACAGCGACATCCTCCGCCACCTCCATTCGTCCTCTGTTTGGAATTCTCTGTTTGGCATAACAATCGCGCCGAGCTTCCTGTTCCGTCCATCCGCGGACGCATCCCTCCCATCCACCAGCCGGCACGTTGAACAAGACACCACCCAGCCAGGACCCGGCTGGGCCGAGACCACAGGGGAGACCACAGGGCAGAGGAGAGGGGGTCGGTTTATCAAAAACAAAGGCCCAACCTAAACATCAAAACCCCGCACCGAACGTGGAAAGGAAGCGTGGAGCGAGCGGGAAGAGCAAAAAACAGGACGTGCACACCCCCCTGTCTGACACGTACCCTTCCCAGCGGGCGCAGGCCCGACCGACACCACCTGGGCCGGCACACACACCACACACACCACACACCTCAGCACTTAAGGAGAGGGAAAAATTGCAGGTCCACAGCAGCCACCAGCCGCCCAACCTTGCAGCTGCCCCCGATCGGTTCCGATCTTACCCCAACACACCTCCCATCCACCGCCATCACACACCCTCCTCCGCTTTCCTTTTTTTCTCACCCTCCGTCAACGACTCAACATTCCGCCGACTCTGAGCTACGTACCTGCCCGGTGTACCCTCCCATTGCGCTTCCCGGCACACCCCCCCATCCCGCGAGTCTCCCTTCCAGCTTAGATCTATAAGGCCAGGCCATGAGCGCCCCCAGCCCGAGACCCAAACTCTCGAGTTCATCTTCCGGCCTTCACCATCACCACAGTCACCACCTCACACGAGACGGCTCTGATAGACACCATCACCAACACTCCCACCACACCGCCTACAGCCACAGGCACTCGTGCAAGACCCAAAGCCCTTACCGCCACGGGCTCCCACAACAGAAGACGCAACAGCATTCCTATCGCCGCTGTTCGACACTCAACAAAATGACGGGCTCGTCGAGCAATCAGGCCGGCTCGGCCGTCTCCTCGTCCAGCAGCTCCGCCGCCGCGAGCGCATCGGGCATGATGCAGTACTACTACGACACCGACGCCAGCTACGGCTTCATGCAGCAGGAGCCCGCATGGCTCATGGCCACGCCCATAGACGACGACGACCTCACCTTCGGCGGCAAGTCGCTCAGCACCTGGTACGAGGAGGACCGTCGGCGCTTCAGCCTCGGCGACGAGAGCTCCAGGACGATGGAGAGCGACGAGGAGGAGGAGTCCAGGGGTCGTCAGAGGGTACGCGCGTGCGCCCCTTTTTTTTTTCTTTTTTTGCACCCCACGGCATCTTACAGGTCACAGTGCATGCAGCAGCCAGCTAACACCGCCTCTTTCTGCTCCGCAGGTTCGTGCCCACTACGACGCCCCGTCCACCTCTCACCGACATCACAAGTCGCATGGCAGCAAGGGCGATGCGGTGAAGCACTAGGAGTTCTCACCCCTCGCTCGCCACACGCCTGCGCGGCGTCCCCGATGTTGCCACCGCCGCCGTCCCGCCTCAACCAATGGAGCCATCGCCTCCTTGGGTTCGCATCACGACTGGGGAACCACGCCCCCGGGCGAACCGAAACCCGCGTCGCTGGTTGACGGCAGGCTGCCTCAAGGGCAGTGACTATGGCGCCCACGACGACGCCTACTTCCCCACGCGGCTCTCGGAGCTGTTGGCGGCGCTGCAGTGAGACGTGGAGAAAGGACCGCGCACCCTCTTCCCTAGACTGCGTGCACACTCTCTCACACACATACACACACACACCCCCTGCTCCAAGAGTGGCTCTTCCGCCTCGGCCAGAACAACAAGGCCGGCCGCAGCGCTGACGGCGCGCCGTCTGAGCATTGCGGCCACGGGCGCCGACATATCATGGCGTTCGGACTGGTCGTGCGGCATCATGCAAACGCACGGCCAGCAGTCGCACAAACTGGCAGCTAGACTACCAACGACGCGGCTTCCAAGTTGGAGAAGCCCGGCGCACTCCTGCTTCGAAGCTCGGCCCGACACCCCATTTGAATCGCTTCCATTTCGATATTTCCTACAGTCTACGCGGAGCAACAAACATCATACGCCACAAGATACCCCCCCGATACCCCAACCATCTATCATATTGCTTTTATATCAGCAAAGATTCTTCAGCGACGACGCATGACATATTTCCTTCGCTCTATTCCCCCATGTTATGACGCTCGTGCTTGTTTCCCATCACATGGTGTATCATGGACCGGCGTTTTACACAACCCCCCGACATTCTCAGTCAGGCGGGGCCTTCTTGCTTTCTGATTCATCTGCATGATACCATGGCTTGCATACTGCCACATTTTTCTTGGTGCTCTTTTGTTATCAATATTATGGGCTTCAAAGACGGTGTCTCTCACTTGGGTCTCTTGTCTTCCGAACTTTGGGTCTGGTGCATACGAGGTACCTGGTTGGTTCAGCATTTTTGCATGCTTGGGGCGTTTGACACACGCATTTCTGTACCTTCTGGATCAGGTGGAATAGACCTTGTTTTTTTTTGTCACTTTTGTCATTTCCCACGAGACGTCGAGCTCAAACCCCTCACTCACGGGTAGCAGGTCGGCCATGCTCGATGCGGTTCGCTCTCTAGCACTACAGGATTGTATAGACACCTCGGATGAGGATGGATAATTTCACACCTTGCCAACCATCACATCTTCTCCCCACCACCAGTTCCTATGTCACTTTTTGCACGTGGGAGGGCTCTAACGACTCGAGCTCTCAAGCCCAACCCGGCAGCTCCTTATCTAGCGTCCGGGCCGTTGGATCACAGGGTCTGCGACGGTCCTACCTAAAATCAGACTGCTGGTTGGCTAGACAGCCACGATGCCCGGAAAAAAAACCGGACTGCAAATGTTTTTCCCCACCCAAACTCCACCTCTCCCAACACAATTGCACCAGCGCCAAAACCGAACAATATGCCCGCGCACCATTTTACACCGAAAAGAATACGCGTTCAAGGGATTTGTAATTATTTTGATGCAAAAAGCACTACTTATAGCCACAATAACGTTGTTTGCTTTGCTAAATCATAGATGCAGAGGGCAAAATGACTGCAAACTAAATGGGCTCCTTTTTTTTGTGGTAGTGGGGAATAT